AACAACCTTTTTATTTCAGTGCAAGTCTGTATGGACACTCTTATTTCAAAATTAAATTGTATTTTGGAATAAGTGTCCTATTTCAATTTTGTTTTTTATTGAAATAGGACTCTTATTTTTAAATCAGAAAGTGTCCACACACAGACTTCCACCAAAGGTGTGAATTAAGATTGGTGTCATTATTACAGTGGAAATGTGTATGTGGACAACCACTATGGGGGAAGGTAGTTTGCTACGAGAGAGAGATGTGAGAAGTAAACAAAGCCACAGGTTGATGACAAATGGTATTTGGCAAGTGAAGTTTTTCATTGATCCCTTTGCGCAATTTCTTTTTTTTTTTTTTTTTTCCCTTTTTTTTTTTGGTGGAAGTAGGTGGAATTTCATTTGCTTGCAATTAGGGCAACCAGTGAATAAGCTCTGTAATCAGCACTGAGGTGGTGGAAAAACAGCGTCTCAAACAAATAACAATTTGACAGCGCAATAAAGAAATATGGCTTAAAAAGCAGAACCACCACACCTAGTGCACTTTTTACTGAGGACATGCTGTCCTACACCAGGAACTCGTCCACAATAATATCCTTATAAAATTGTGTGTATGTGTTTGTATATATACACACAACATACTTTTTTTTTAAATCACACACTACGAGACAATTTCATTCCCATGTAAAAAAAAAACGAGTCAGAGCCAAGTGCTACTCTCACTTAAACTGGTGTAAATCAGGAGTAACTCCACTGAATTCAGTGGAATTGCATCAGTGGAATGGGATCAGAATCAGTCTGCCAATTTGTGTGTGTCCGTCTATCTCCTATCTTTAATCTGGAATGGACCTCTAATCTTGTAGGTGTCATTCTTCTTGACTTCTGGGACCAGCGTGGTTTTGCTTGAATATTTGATGCTCTCTGCTGCCACCCACAGCACATGCATGTACATTTCAGAAGATCTCTCTCTTATGAACACAGTACATTTTTTCCAGTCACCTTAACTGTACCGAGTATGAGTCTGTATACTGGGGTCTGGGCAGACCTTAGAAATCTTCAGGTTACGGGGGGAGGGGAAGAGGGGGCGAAGGAAGATGGAAACTGTGAAGTATGGTGGAGTTGTGCCAGGATCTAACAGCAACTTGGAAGCACAGGCTGCATCAGAATTTGTCTGCTTTGCTTCAAAAGTGATAGCAATAGAGTTTGTTGATTATATTTCCTGTTGATTGCTGTTTGAAAACATGCAGGATCCCTAACAAACAAGAGCAGCTCTTTGGCAGAGTAGTGTATTACTAAGCTGGTCTGGTCTGTTTCAAAATGAGATGTTCTCATTTTAAGAGTACACACAGACTCGTACTTATGTCTGACTGACTGACACCTTGATCTATTGTATTCAATGTCGTTCCCACGCTGATTTTCACTCCCTTCATCCCAACCCTTTCAGCCACAAAACAGTGGACTAGATTCATCACTAAGATGATAGGGAAGTTTTTTTCAAATTTAATCAATTTTTTTGTAAATCATTCATGCGTTTCTCTTTCTCACTAGAATCCAATCTTACATGGAGTTGAACTTGAGGGCATTCTGTATTTACAAAAGGCACGCAAGTACCTTCCAGGATCGGGTCCTTCTTATACAGCTCTAGTGATAATTAGCAGTGTGGAGGTGTAGTCCAGAGCATAAGATACAAGAGTGGGAGCCTGGAGCCATATTCAGTTTCCAGATCTGACATTGATTTGCTGGGCAACTCTGGCAAAATACTTCGCTTCTCTGTGCTACAGTTCCCCAGCTGTAAAATACAGTGGTAATGATACTTTACAACTTTGTAGAATGTTTTGAGATCTGGGCATTAAAAGTGCTAAAGATCATGATAGTTATCACATTTCTACTTTAACATGTTTTGCTGAGACAGATACTTGTACAATTAAAAAAATATGAAGTTTCAATATAAACGATAACTTCTTACACTTATATAGCATCTTTCATCCTTACCTATAAACACAGAACTACTAATAAGCAACCATCTTTACAGAATGGAGGGGGGAATGTTTGAAAAAGGATGCCAGAACAATTATTCTTGTAAAATATGCTACTGGACTCTTAAATGGCTGTGCACTCAAATCCCTGCTCCACCACTGACTCCCTGTGTGACATTGGGCAAGTCACTTAGCTTCTCTGTTCCCCATCTGTAAAAAAATGGGGATAATAGCATTTCCCTACCTCACAGGGATGTTGTGATGAAAATACATTTTTGTGGCACTGTGAGGCACTCATATACTATGGTAATGGGTGCCATGTAAATTACCTAAGATAAATAGATGTGCAGAACAGGCTCTCAAAATATATACTTTGAGTAATTCAACGGGAGCATTGACTGATCAACCATAACAACATCTGACCGAAAGAGAAAAGGCACAAGGGTCAGTGTTTAAACTGGATCATACGGAAATAAAAACAAGGAGGAACAACGATGGTTCAAAGTGTTCAATTAAAGTCAATATCCCTGGGGAATCACTGATGCTAGGAATCATGTTTGTATTATTTGCCATCAGAAGAATCAGCGCAAACTGTAGTTGGCTTACACTTACTACACTTATTGAGTATTATTTATAATAGTCAGATTCCACATTGTGAATTTTTTAGTAATCATAAAAAGTTGGTTTTAAATCAGGGAATTAGTTTGATTCCATTTACATCTTTGTTGTTCATGCAAAATCTATCCCTTCGCTTTTCATCAAAAACAATCCATTGTCAGTTGTAGACCACCATGAAAATCAGTTCTTCAGTAAAATTCAGTTAGGTGAGCAACTGGCCTAGACAAGAAACTCTAGTCTGGGACTGACCTGTTAGTGTCTCTGGTGAGAACTGTGTGTAATTGTTGGAGGTACAGGAAGAGTAGTCCTCAGTCCGTTCATTCTCTGGGAATAAATCCTTAGTAAACATGTTTCACTTGTGAGAGTCATGGCAAAATCTAACACTGGAAGTTTCTCCTACTCAAAATTTACTGATTATTTCCCTATGTTCAGCAGTAAAGAAATCAACCATTAGGTGTCAGGAAAGTTTGTATTCTGAAATGCATTTTAAATGGAAATGTACAAAACATTTGACTGCATAAGGTAGGTTTCAAACAATGTTGAGAGAAAAATCCACCAAAATGGACATTTTACTTTTTTTTAAAGCAAAAAATGTTACTAGAGGCCCATCGTTTCTGAAAATTGTCAGAACCAGATGTTCCTCTTATTTATAGGCCTTTTCATGTAAAGATCTCTAACTTCTGGTCTCAAGTTTTTCTCTCCTATAAAGTACATGGAATACCCTTCTAAATACTCTGGGCCTGATTCTCCTCTCACTTACATCTGTGTAAATCAAGAGTAACTCCACTGTCATCATCTGAGTTAGACTGGTGTAAATAAGATCAGAATAAGATTCTGTCGGTAACTTGGGATTTGACTATAAGGTTTCAAATCCTGAATTCCTAAAGACAGCTACAAGGGGGGGAAATGAAATATCAATGATTAACAACATAGTGTAAACTGAAGTTAAAGAATGTGAAAAATCTGAAAGGTATCTGCACAGTTACAAGTAACTGTTTGAGCAAATCCTAAATAGAATCATCCAGCCTCCGGACCAGGAAAATTCCCTGCTTCCCAAAGGGGGGGGGAGGGAGCCCACACTAAAGCTGGTGTGAAAGGGATGAATATAATTCAGAAGTTAGTCAATTCATTCTTCCTGGAAAGTGAGCGTCTATAGTAATGTATGTCTTGACTCATCTCCTGGCAAAATTGGCTTACGGGATGTTGGGCTGGTGGTCAAAACCTAAGTTACCAATCTTACAGCTCTCATTCAAGGAAAATGACCACTGGGCCTGAGTGAGGACTTCGGGAATTGGCCAAATCTATACGCAGCCAGCTACCATGTCAAAGATGATTATTTTGAACTATTTTACAGAAAAATGTGCTACCTTAGTTAATATCACTGCAAGAAGAAAGGGGGGGGGGGGAAGCCATACAGTTCCTGTGTACACGATCAAGCTAACCCCAATTCAGTTATCAACGCTTTTCAGGATTTGGCATCTTATTTTTACATTTATTCACTCTTGTTCTCTGGGTCTTACAGCAGCCATCTGCTGCATGGCTGAGAAGGAGGTGGTTCTGTGCCTGTCACAGCATCATCAACACCCTGGGTGAAATGTACACATCTCTCACACTGTAACTAATTGATAAGGCGTGTGTGGGGAAACAAGGAGAGGGCTGGAGACAGCTTCTCCTTTCTCACCAGGACACTATCAGAGGTCTGTTCCCAGTGCTTGATATCATAGGAAGAGATTCCTTCTGCTCTTAGAAAAATCCTCTTCCCAAACAGATGATCTATTCTTTTATAACCCAAGTTGCCTTTCCCTAGTCTTTATTTTTAATATACAGCTCCAGCAAATGAGGTGAAAATCAGACTTCAGCTAATATAGTCTCACAAAAATGCCTTTGACACTAAAAAGCCACTAACCTTACAAAATACAACCCAGCACATCTTCCTCGAGGACAGCCACAAACTCATTAATGCCTTAGAGAAGGGCTTCTTTTCAGATTCCCTTACTCAGACTGTTACCGAATAATTTAAGTGAGGTGGGAATTATGGAGGGGGAGGTTGTGTATGATTGTTTTCTCTCTGGCATGTAATAACCCCTTATGAAATCACCTTTCTGGAAGGGCTCTGCTTCTCCAGCAGAATCAGGACTTGTAGAAAGGGTTTACATTTCCACATTTACATTCAGCTAAAGATGCCTGGCAAAAATCTATTCCTTTTATCTTGTAAGGGAAACCCACAAACCAGTACCTTAAAACACTTTTGTTGCTGGGGTAATATAATAAATGCTTTAAGTTATTTAAGACAAAACACCTTCCTAGAACAGCAAAGACTCATACATGCTAGTAAGTGAGGAGTGCTAATAACTTCTCCAGGTGCTTTTTACTGACCATTTGCCCGAGATGTTCTGAGCATCATCTTGCAAGCCAGCTACTTACCCCACAGCACGAAAAGGAAAAGTTGCACTAGCCAGAAAGCATGCGTCTCCATCCCGCAGTAGGAGCAACCAGGACTCAGAGCCTCTGGGGGAAAGCGCCCGCATGGGGAGGAAAGAGGGCGGCAGGTCTGCAGCCACCAGCAAACACACCTCGGATCCACCACACGCTCTCCCCTCAGGAAACCCCTCTTCATTCCTTTGCATCAAAGCAGAAGCAGCGGCAACTGGGGGTGGGTGGGCGTGCAAGCTTTCCCCCAGCTCCACTCCTCCTCCCCGTCCCTACCCTGAGATGCGATCATCAGCCTCTCAGCGGCACCAATCAACTCCAACTTCCATTGCCCATTTTTGCCCTCCCCCGCCTTGTTTCTTCCTCCCCCTTTCTCCGGCTCGCCTTTGGACTGGGAGGAAGGAGGAGGATGTTGTTGTGGCTATTCTGGGATCCTCCAGGGCAGCCGATGGGAAGTTTCCTGCAGCTGGAGGTTGCTGAGAAGGAGGAGAAAGGGGGAGGCCCACAACGGAGGCGTCTGCCCGCACAGCTGTCTCGGGCGAGCGTGAAACTGACCAGCAGGGAGCTAGCTGTGTGTGTGTGCTTGTCTCTCTGTGTGTTATCCGAGCCTCTTGAGCGCCTCGGTGTCTTTGTGTGGCTCCTTGGGTGATCATCCGCAGCGTGCCTATGTGCCTGTCTGCTGAGTGCCTGCCTTTGTGTCTGTGGGGCTGACGCTGGCCGGCAGGGGGCTGAGGCAGGTCAAGAGGGGGGAAGGGGGGAGAAGGCACATGTGCTTTGCAGCCTTCCCCTCCCCTCCCCCCAGCACTCACCTGGAGAAGACACCTAGGGGGCTTCCGGTCCGGTGGGAGACAGGAATCTCTGCAGTGGACCTCACTCACCTTAGCAGCTGCTGGGGCTTCGGTCGGTGAGTGTTTGACCCCGTGATTCCCCATAGGTTTGTAATATTGGGTTGGTTTTGTGGTTTTCGGGGGTGTTGCTGTTTGAGGGTGAGTTGGTACCTGCCTGTGTCTGTTTCAAAACTAAACTGGGATCATGTAACCCAGGAAGAAAGCCCAGAGCCAGTACTTAGTGCTGTGAATTCCAGGTGAGAGAGAGAGGGAGGTTTGGAGGAGGAAATCAAATACATCAAGAGGGGAGAATGCGAAAGGTCTGCAACACGGCAGGCTGAGACTTTTATCTCTCCCCTCTCCCCCGAGAGAGGGGAAACTGAGGCACGGAGTGATCTGATTCCCCTCCCCAAATTATTTTGCAAAGGAGGGGGACGGGGGCTCCTATCCAAACCAGTTCCCTTTCCATCAACTCTGCTTCCCCTGCTGCAAGACCACTGTAGGGGCTGAATATTTCCATTAAACTCTGGCTCCTTCATTTGCCCTGCAACTATAAAATAGACCGGCTTTGGGGGGGGAGGAATATCCCCCCCCCTCCAAAGCTGTGTGGACATTAAGGTTTTTTGGGGGGGGGGCACGATAATATTCCGGATCGATCAAACACCCAGCTCAGCTTTCTAGCCATCCAGCAGCTCTGGGGCAGGGAAGGAAGGTGCTCTTGGGGCAGAGTAGTCGCAAAACAGGGGTGAATTTAGCAGGGGGGGGGGTCCAGTTGAAATCCAGCCCGATGCAGCCACCCAGAATCGCTGGCGGCGCTAGGAGAGGCCAGGAGTAGAAGCAGGTGGCCCGGGGGTGGCGGGACATTTGCCCTCAGTCCTGGGCTCTGGGATGGACTAGGCTGGGTGGGTGGTGGGTTCAGTCTAGTCTTCCAGCCTGTTGCTCTCGCTGGGGTTTGTGGTTTTCATCTGGCTCCACCAAAAAGATCAAACAAGCCCAGTAGAAAAGGGGGGTGAGAGAGGCAGGAAGGCATTTGTAAGGGGTTAAAGTGACCCATCAACGAAAGAGTAAAACCAGAGTTTGACTGGGTTTCCCCCCAGCCACCACTCCTGCAAACACTGGGCAAGGGGCAGCCCCATCCCCCACCGAGGCTATGGTCAGGGGCAGCAGGGGAGGAAGGAAGCCACATGTGATGGCAGTCCCCTCCTCCCCAGCACCCACCACCCCCTCTCCGGCCCCCAAACTCTGTCCCAGAGCCTGCACCCACCCCTCCGCACTCCCTCCCAGAGCCTGCACCCCACACCGTGCCCCAACCCGGAGCCTGCACCCAAACTCTGTCCCACTCAGCCCTGGGCAAAACTCTCCTTGGCTGGCTCCCAGCCCCGCTCCAAGGGTTGCAGCTGTCTGGAAGTGCCTGCCTTCCACACCATCCTCATTCACACCTCATTCATTCAACAGGTCAATTGATTACAAAGTGGGGGGAAGATCTTATTCTACTTCTAGCAAAAAGACATTTTTCTTTTACCTTAATTATACTACCTTAGGGGCCAGCTATAACATTGCCAAGGTTCAATACAAAGTTATATAAAAGTTATACAAAAATGCATAATGCAGAGATTTATCTACAACTGCACTGATTGACTGCTGTGTGCAGTAATATAGTGACCCCTGGGTCTTTGAATGAGGCTTTATACTTGGGGGGGGCGAGCAGGTGGGCAAGCGGCGGGTGGGCAAAGAGGCAAGCAGTGAGCCAGCAGGGGTTCTAGGGGCGGGCATGGGGGTTTCTGGCAGGGGAGGGAGAAGGTGAAAGGAGGCAAGTGGTGGGTGGGGGACTGACTAGGAGGGACACAGCAAGCCAGCAGGGGGCTAGGGAGTGAAGATGGGTGTGATGGTGGGGCTGAGCGGGGAGGGGTCGGGTCCTATTTTACTGCTGTAATCTGGTCACCCTATGTCACCCCCCCCCCCTCCCCCAAACCTTCCTTTTCAGCCCACAGCTGTTTTGGCGGGGCGGCGCTGGGGAAACAGGGTTTGTTTCCGCGGGCCGGGAGGCGCTGGGGGGGGGGGGAGGAGGGCACAATTTTATATTAATAAGGAAATATTTTATAAATTTTAATAAAATAAACATTATTGAGGAAAATCAGTTGTACAACTATCAAAACATGAATTATTTTCCTAATATGAAAGTGAAAATCAGCTAATTAATATATGACGCAATGTATGTAATATATAATTTTATTATTTATTTAGTCATGGAAAGTAAATAATACATGGAAGAAATGAAAGGGTTCTTTTTAAGTGGCTTTTTTTTTTAGTCATCCCTGCTGGGGCCCCGTCGAAACTGTTCGAATTGGGCCCCGCACTTCCTAAAGCCGGCCCTGTCCGTTGGCTTGTGTGTCCATCTGTCTGTCTGCAGTAATCGTATTCTTGTCAGTCTCCCCTTCCAAACAGAAAAGGGGCGGGCCCCAGCTGCCCACTGATCAGTAAAGCTGTAGTCTCAAACCTCTCCTTTAAAGGGGGAAGTTTGGGCATTTTCTCTCTTCTCTTTGGAACCTCACCCACAGGCTGTCTAGGGCAGGCACCGTCTGCCAGGGATCCCTTGTTCGGTGCATAGTTGGTGTGAGCTAAACTTCTGCTGAGATATCTTCCTCGACACCTTTTCTCATCACATTTTCTTGAGTTATCTCAAATGCCAATGTGTTATTTAAAATTTAATATGTATAGATCGGCAGCCGCTACCCTTTAATAAAATATATATTCCAGGACAGAATAGCCAGTAGCCTTAAGCAAGTGCTGAATGTGTTTTAATGCTGCCATTTCATTTCTTCATGATCGTGTCCAGGGGGGGAAACCATTCATTGCTCATTTTCATCAATATTTAAACCCTATGTTCCTTGATCCATAAGCATTTGAAATTAGCTTCCTGATTTAAAAATGCCAGGAGCCGAAGCAACAAGGAGAGCCTTCCTGGAGACTTAGCAAGACAACTAAAAAACATGTATGCTGTTCAGTTTCATACACAGCCGGAAAGTATTTCTAGATAAGCAGAAAGATTGCATCTAGGTAATTACATTTCAATAGTGCATGAAGTCGCTGTCACTGATAAGGTCAGATTAACCATAACATTTAGAATTTTAAAAAAAATAAACTTTTATAAAACCTAATGTTATAATATAGATTGTGTTATGTGTGTGCCTGTGTATAACTTTATTTTTATAAATACTATGTGTGTGTAATGTTTCAATTGATTGGAAACTCTGACAGGGAAACAGCCTTTTATTTCTAATCGAAATCGCAGGTTGATTTGTTATAGAAACAAATGGTTGAGATACTATCAGTGTGCATAGCAGCATTTTCTGGTGTGTTACATTTTGAGACTTGTTTAAATAAATATTTGTTACTTTATAAAAAAAAAAAAAAATTTGGAGAGTCCAAACATTGCAGCATGGTGCTATTTATTGCAGGTGTAAAGCAAAGTGAAATTGACTATAAACAAAAGTGAAATTGACTGGCCAATTTTTATTGTCCAAGCTGAGAGAAATGGAAAATGTAAACAAATCACATTAAAGGTTTTAAGTCATCAGTATTATAATATAGCTATGGGAATTAAGTTTTTAAAGATATTATATAGGACTTGCTAGTCTGTGCATGCCACTATTTTCTCCTGGATGGAAGCATATCTAGTGAAATACCATAGGCCCTAGACAACTAATAGCGATTGGACGTCATTCTTTAGCTCCAGTGATTAGCACTTGAGCTTCTAAAGGAGGAGCTGAGGTTCTATTTCAGCTATCCACATGAAGTTTTGAGCGACCACTGTAGCATAATGATAACCATGAAATTCTATATAGCCACAGGCTTGCTACCCTATGATGTTTATTGATTGAATCTCTTTTTTAAAAAATTAGGATTTTGGCAGATGTCAATTTTCCCTTATAAATCATAATATTTAACAGTTCCAAGGACTTAGAGTGGACATGATCTTCATGAGCATTAATATACTGGTTATTAAAACAATCAAAGTGTTTTGACACAGGATACAGAGATGTGGTCAAAGCATAAGAAACATTTCAAATAAAGAATCAAGTTTTGTTTTTAAATAATGTGGCCAGTGTTTCTTTATCTGCTTCAGGGTGGAAAAGTCACTGCACAAAATGTATAGCAAATATCTTTGATGAAAGAAATTGTTTTCAACTTGTAAAATTCAGCAGATTCTCTCCCCGGGCCCCATTTTAGGCTTACTTCCTGAAATACCATAATGCAAATAAAACCCTATGGCAGAACAATAACTGAAATTTAAAGGAAGGTGCACTAACTTTGAGATAGTGAAGCTATTTTAAATTCATAGGCTAGCTACTTAAACTGA